AGCCCTTCCTTCCCCCTCGTGCCCCTCCACTCCCCCATCCCACTGCCTACAGTGGGAACCAAGCTCAATCCTTGGCAAGCCTCTGTCCTATGGGGGCTTGGCTGGAGCCCTCACCAATGCGTCTTGTCTCTCAGCTTGGGTGGTTGGAAGCTGCTTTTCGACATGAGCATCAAGGCCCTGGGGAGGATGTGAACTCATGAGTCAAGAGTCGGCAGGGCAAGGGTCAGGGGCATGTGTTAGGCTGACCTCATGGGGTGCAGGTGGAACAGCGGTGGCTGTAGCTCGCCCAGCTCAATAGCAGTGATGCCCAGGGCCCAGACGTCACATAGCTCATTGTAGCCACCCTTGCGTTCCACAGCAGCAACCTCTGGCGCCATCCTAGAGTCAGTCACATACATACAAGATGGCCAGATGCCCTTCTTGTGGCCACTACCCCTACTGCCAGGGCGCCATCTTACCAGTATGGAGTGCCAATGAAAGACCGTCTCTTGGCCACAGATGCCGTCAGCTCGCCTGACACCCCAAAGTCCGCTGCAGGAAAGAGACTCTTACCAGCCCCAGGGCCTCTCTTAGCTCCCACCCCAGGGCCCAAGCTATACCAGGTAGGGCATGGGTCCAGCCACAACTGTCCCAAGCCAGGCCAGGCCCCTCTTCTGAGATGAGTCACCACCCTTCCATCTCTAAAAACTTAATCCCATGTCAGATCCCGCCCAGTTCAATCTCAGCCAACTATCAGCAGGCAATAATGCTACATCTAAATGGAGAAACTGAGGCTCAAGCAACAAAGCGACTGGGATCTCCAGCACTCAATTCTACGGTCCCTGAGCCCCTGCTGAACCCTTACCCACATGGTATTCCCCAGTACTGACCCAGCTTGACATCACCCTGCAGAGTGAGCAGAAGGTTGGCACCCTGGGGGAGGGGGCACAGAAAGGATTGTGTCAGGTGCCTGGCAGCTTCCTCCTCGTTTGAACCATGCCCTTGGCTGACCCCTACCTTAATGTCTCGGTGAATTTTCCCCTGAGAATGCAGGTGGTGGAGCCCCTGGGGACAAACAGAAGTCTCTGAGGACAGCTACTTTGCACTAATTATCTCTTCTGAGCCCCTCCTCAGGACTGGGGCCCCCCCACCCAAGCTGCTTCCTCCACCCCTCTCCCCAAACAGGAAGTGACTGAGCCAAGAGGGAAATAGGCTGCTTCCGGCAACAGAACTGGGGCCCCCTCCCGCTAGGACCTAGATCCCCTGAGCCATCCCATCCTAAGGTCCCAATCTCCCACTGGCCAGACGGGTTGGGCCCACACTCCTGAGGATTCCAAAATGGGTGCTACCTATGAGCCCCGTACCTTCAGTGCCTCCCGGCAAACATAGGCAATCTGCCGTTCTTCCAGGGGCCCAGTGGCTGAAACATACAGAATGAGGGCTGAAGAGAAACAGCCCGAGGGATATGCTGACCCTCCCTACCCACCCTGCATAGTGTGAAGCAGCAGGCACCGCTACTGCAAAGTGATGGTAGCCACATTTCTTCCAGGTTCGGGCTGGGAAACTGAGCCCAGAGAAGGACAGTATTTCTCTCAAGGTCACACAGCCAGTCAGAAGCTAAGAAGAGTCCAAGTTCAGCCAGGAGGATGCCCTCCTAACCCTATGTTGGGATTGGGAAAGGCCATGTCCCATGGAGTCTGGCTCTCACCATGGTAAATCTCCTGCAGTGACCCTCCTCCACAGAACTCCATACAGATCCACAAGCGGTCATTCCTGGGGAGACAGAGAGCTGGGGCTGGCACAGTGCAGGACACACGAGGGCTGTCTGGGGCAAGAAGATAAACAACCTCACCTGAGGTAGCTGCCGATGTAGGCCACGACATTGGGGTGGCGGCATTCACGAAGGATGGTGATTTCCTGCTGAAGAGAGCTGATGTCGTCCCCTGGGGAGCACAAGGCATTATGGGGGGGCACACGAGTAGCCCAGACTCTGTCCCTATGTGCAAAATGAGCATAGAGTATTTCCCTTCTCGCCGAGCAGGTGCCAGACCTTAGTTTGTCCTGGGGTCGGCTTCGCTGGGGGTCTAGAAAATGTCAACTCTCCGCCCCCGCCAGCTCACCCGCCCGCCTCCCCGGAGCGCAGAGGCCCCACCCGGGCCCACACCTGGGTCTAGCTTGACGATCTTCACCGCTGCCAGTTCAGACGTGATGGTGTCACGGGCCTGGGGGCGCAAGGCGAGAAGCGGGTAGGGAGGGGGCGGGGCCGGGGCTCCAGCGGCGGGACGTGAAGATGCACCCTCCTTCTGTGCTCCCACCCGTCCCGCAGCCCCGCGCAGCGCACCTTGTAAACGTCGCCATAGGTCCCGGCCCCCACACGCTGCAGCAGCTCGAAGCGGTCCCGCGGATCCTGCAGCGACACGTCCCGCAACAGCGCCATGGCCCGGCGCCGGACCGGCCGGCGGGCGCGAGCTGCGGAGCCGGCGCGGAGCGGCGCGGGGCGGGGCGGGGCGAGGCAGGCAGGCGAGCAGGGGCAGCACCGAGACTCAGAGGCCGTAGGGGCGGGGCCATACCGGGGCGGGGCCAGCCCGGGGATGCCCCGCCGCCTGCCTGGCCGAGAGGAGGCGCCCTGCTAGCGCGGGGAAGTCCCTGAGGCAGGGGAGGAGCTTAGGTCCCCCTCCCAATTCTCAACACGCTACAGGTGCGGAGCATGAAGTTCAAAGTCCTAAGACAGAGCAAAAGCGGACATCCATTCCCGCTCCATCCCCGAATTCCCAGATGAAACACATACATCTCTCTTTTTTCTTAACAAAATGTATTTATCTTCCTTGGAACTGAAAAATAAATCTATGTACAAAACAGGAAGAGACTGGCCCTCCCCCACCCCGTGCAGATTTCCTCCGGGGACCTCAGGGAGGTTCCCAGAGGGCTGGAAGAGGTCCTGCTCTGTTCTCCGGCCAGTTTGGTCAGGAAGGGGGTGAGGCTCAGTATTCACAGATAAGAGTCGGAGCTTCATGTCCTGGACTCCAAGGCTAGGGAGACGAGGAAGATTTCCAAATTCAGGCAGCAATATGTAAGTTCTTTGGGGTAGGGGACTTGGATTCCCAAAGGCTGGAACTCTATAAAGTGCGGAAATCTACCCCCAGGGTTTCCAGGTAGCAACTGTGCTCTAGGGCTAAGGTCAATCTAGCCCCCAAGTGGGAGGAATGCCAAACTGTTCAGGGTTCTTGTCATGGTCCATTGAATTGTGGGGGTTGGACCTGTCAAGATTGGCTGCATGGACCTACAATGAGGTTCCAGTTGGCTGGCTGGTGGGAGATGAAACCTAAATTCTAAGAACGGAGCCAGGGCTCTGGGGCCTGAAAAGGGGCTAAATGAAGGTTCCCAGTCACTGCACGACAGCTCTGGGCCCCCGCAGTACTGTGGGCGGAGTCTGGGCTTGAAGACTAGGGTGAAGCCTGCTGGGAGTGAGGGCAGGCCTGGAGCCTTGTCACAGAATCCTGAGGAGTTCAGAGACCCTTGCGCTGCCGCTTTAGGAAAGAGAGTGTGTAGTCGCTGGGTGTGGACACTTTCTGTTTCTTCATCTGCACTTGCGACTGTGCTGTGAGTTGAAGCTTGATGGCGCTCGAGTTGATTTTGGTGGCCACCAGCAGCTCCTTCATGCCTTTCATCTTCTCACTCTGAAAAGTGAGCACCGGGCCCTCTGGGGGTGGCGATGCTGCAGGTGCTGGAGCCTGAGCAGCATTGCTGACTTCCGGGCCCCGGGTAGCACCTGGGACAGTCCCTGACATTTTCCTGGGTGGTCCTGACCCTGCACTTTGCCCTGAGCCCGGGCCCTTGTCCAAAGCAGGCTTTTTGGGTGGCGGTGGCTCCTCAGGCTTGGACTCTCGGCGGGGACCACGCCGACGGCCTTCTCGGGCTTCATCGCCCCATGGCTCTTCAGCCTCTGCTGTCTCTGCGTCTCTGCTGACTATGTGTACCTTCTGCCGCACCTGAGCAAAGTGCAAGCCAAGGGAAAGGTTGTGGCTCACCAGTGGGACTCCAGGCTCAGCTCCTGGCCACTCCTCTAGGAGTGTCCACTCATCTGTCCTCATAAACACCCATATGCAATATAATCTCACTCCCCTGTGGCTACTGTCACCACCTGTAGTTCTCATGCCCTGGATGCCCGGGATGGGACCCTCTCACCTGTCCCTCGAAGCGGCCTAGGGACTGCACAAGGAAAGTTGCCCAGCCTACGTGCAGTACTGGTGTGGGGCTTCCCTCTTCCCATTTGCAGATGCCGTCATAGAATCTCAGCAGGTGGGCAAAGCACTCAGGGTCCTGGAGGGCAGAACCTTGGCCCTGGGTGCCCTGGATAAGAGGGAAGGTACAGCAGAGGTCACACAGTGTGCAGGCCAGGCTCCACCTGGGCAAAGCCTTAGTTTCAGGGAAGGAAAGTCCAGGCTAGGACCTCCTTCCTTTTATAAGGCCAACCCTTAGTGTGAGTGAAGGGGGGGGTGTCTTTCCTCACCTACAGCCTAGCCCAGGTTAGAACTTGGCCATCAAAGAGATGGACCATCAACCCATTTTCTTAAAGACTTTAGCTCTAAAACACCCTAAAGTCCTTTCAGACCCAATCCCAGGATATCAGCTCCAGCAAAAGAGAATCCCCAATCCTGTCCATGTAGTTCAATCTATGTATGTGCCCAGGAAGGAGGGTGCACCAATGGAGTCCAGCCCTTCACCTGGGCTTGCTCCCCTGGCCGCTCCTCGCCTGCTTCTAGCAGGCTGGCTGCCTCCTTCAGCAGGTTGGGGATGACATCATTGGCCACTTCAAAGAATTCCTTGTAGATCTCCTCATCCTCCCGGCAGTAGTTGTAGCTGTGAGAACACACAGGATTCAGTTGACAGTTGTCCCACAATGGGACATCCCACTGACTAGGAGAGAGGCTGGAGACCTTGTCCACCCAGCTGATGGTGATATTAGTCCACGGCAAGGTTAGGGAGCGGGACTGGACTAGAAGATGGGCAGAGACAGTGGTACCATGGGAAACACAACTGACTGTAAAGCAGGATCAACTGGGCAGAGAGGAGTGAAGGCCAGGCATGAGGGGAGGAGCTAACCGGGGAATCTCACGTCCCAAGTAGTCCCAAGTAATGGCAGCCCTGGCTGTGTAGGGGCTGAGCAGAGAGGACAGAGCTTGGGACAAGGTCTTACAACTAGATGACCGGTTGGAAAGTCATAGAGAGAAAGGACAGGCTGGAGGCCTGCCAGGGGAATCCTCACTCTTGGATAACAGTGGCAGTGTCGGCCCAGGCCTGCAGGGCTTCGCGCACATTGCGGTTGCGACAGTGGTAGCCAGCCAGGTACATGTAGGGGTAGATGTGTTCATCCTGGTAGTAGGTCTTAGCTGAAGCAATTCCCTGGAGGATGGAGCAGAGGAATCTCAGGGAGGCACCCCCCAGCTGCCTTATCACTGATATGCTACAGAAAGATGATGCCAAAGGGTCCTCCCGGTCTCTAACTCTGGGTCCATTCTCTGCTAGCCCCTTTGCCTGGTGTTCCTTACTCCCCCCACCCCCTCCATCCCAGGCCTGGATCTACAAGCTTACTTGCTAAATTGAGGGCAGACAGTAGAAGTGGTGACCCCGCAAAACAAGGCCTAGGGTGGAGCAGGGAAACACTCAAGCCTGGGGCAGGTCTCTCCCCAGCATAGTCCCGTATAAAGACTTCTAAGCCCAACCGTCTTTCTACCACAAAGAGCATGCTAACATCTCTCCACAGTGCTACCACAGGATACATCCAGGATAATAAAGGGCAGGTGAAAAATGCAGGGCTTGTGGGATAAATTCAGGCCCTGCCACTTCTAGGCTAGGGAACCCAGGGCTCTTTTTACACAGAACTACTCTCATTACACACATGCCTTACACAAAATAAGGCAGGAAATACCCTCCAGCACACAACATTCTTCCTTTTTCACCTATATCCTTTCCAGCCCCAGAAAGGAGCTGCTGTGATATCACTCACCTTGTGATAGAGGGTGAGTGGGTCTGGCCGACCAGGGGTGGGCTCCAGCTCCTCCAGGTCTGCCAAGTTCCCTAGTGCCATGGGGTACCTAGGAACAGAGCATAAGCTCAGGCTATCACTCAGCTCCCTGATCCCCCCAAGGCCTATCTGATCACATCCTTCTACTGACCTTTCCAGATGTCCTAGGTCATACAGCAGCCAGAGCAGCTTCTAGAGCCAAAGGGAGAGAAGTGCAGTGAACAGAAGGGAGCTGTCTGTCGGGCAGAGAGGTGACCAGAGGCAGCAGGGCCTCTCCACCAGGGAAGGGCTAGGATTCGTCAACACTCGCAAAGCCCTTCATGTCTCTACTCTACTTTCCCTTGTGCATTGAAAAGGATCTGTCCATTTTACAGAAGGGTAAAGGAGGGCCCTGGGCAAGGGCAATCTCCTCACCTGCTGTAGTTGCAACAGTTCCAAAGAGTCAGTGTGAAGATCAATGGAAGGGTTGATGGCACACACCATGAACGCCACCTCCATCTTGCGGTCACAACGCATGTATGATCCTTTCAGGTACAGCCAGCTCTTGGAAAGGGAGAAAAGCATGATGTCTATCTCAGGATATCCCACCTTGTGCCTGCTCTAGGGCATAGCAACATAAACCGGTTCATCTGCCTCCCCCCTTGGTACATAAACTCAGAGGGGTGATGGGTTGAGGGG